TACTGTTGCAGACAACTTGCAGATATCAATTCTTTTCGTTTACTCAGAAAATATACACAGCTTTTTATTTTAATGATTAGGTAAGAGCAAGTTAGAGCCCTAAAACTGTAGCTTTAGGGCTAAGCCACGAGAGGGCGCTGTGTCTCTTTCTGGTAAAGGACATCAGTTGAGCCCGGAGTTCAGGGCAGGCTGTTCACATCTTGTGATTCCAGTTCATTATAGGGTTGTTGCTCAGACTTTTTAAAATCTACATTTTCCCTTGGGCTTCAGGTATCACCTATGACAGGTAGAGATGACAGTTTACAGACTTTTTCCCTGTAGTCTGTGGGAGGCAGCTTGCCTGCAGGGCTCTTGGGGCTTCTCCAGGGAGTGGAGTTAGAAGTCCTGACTCTGAATTGCACTGTCACAGGTCTCCAGGTGTCCCACTGCGTGACTATTGTGACTATCGGCTGGGCCACTCCAAGTCTCTAAGTCAAATGCATGTGTGCCTGAGGGCAACCTCACACACTGTGCTGGGCTTTGGGGAGGCACTTTCCGAGCAGAGTGGGAAGGAAGGATGGAAAGCACCATACTTGTCATCTAGGGAGAACTCCACAGTCTGCATGGCTTCCCAACCCAGCTGGAACATGATCAACCAGCATAGCACTTGGTAGCACTCGGTGGTGATGATCCTCCCTCACCTCTCATCAGTACCCTGCCTCTGAAAACACTGTGCCTATAGCTAGGATGCTAAGCACTTGCTTCTCTCTGCCCAGCACCAAGAAAGTCCCCCTTCTGTGACTCCTTTCAGTGGCCTTCAGCTTTTCCTGGCTAGTAGCCAAGGGTTCTTCACATCCTCTGACTCATTTCCCTCCAGGCAGCACCTAAACATTTTCTTCTTGGCTCTCACACAGAACTAAACCTTTGCCAAGACCTGTTCATTTCTCCTCTTTGACGTCTAGGGCTTCAGACCCGAGGGCCCCAAATCCCACTTCTACCACTTCCCATCACTGTAACCACGGGCAGATGCTGCCATTTCTCAAATCTTTGCATGGCCACTCAGCATAAGGATAACTGTGAGCAGACTCTTTATCCTGAACCTTTGTTTCCTCACTTATAAAATGAGGATGTTATACTCAGGATGTTGTAAGGGTTAAATGAAGAGATTCATATGAAGACCTTGGTACTTACAAGAGCCTAGGTCATAGGTTCTTATAAAACCATTCTAAGCCTCAGCTTCCCTAACTACCCATCCCTCCGGGCTGTATGAAAGTTTCATGTCAAGTCTCCAGGCATGCTGCTTAGCAATCCACTTCAAGAATTATCCATGGTTCTGCCATTCCTCCCAGCCTCAGTGGCATCACCAAACACCCACACACCTGCCGTGGAACCTCTGCAGCTACAGTGGACGGTTTGTCCCCTTTTCTCACCAATCTCTGGAGTAAAACTTTGGGCCTCATGGCTGGAGAGATGGCTCAGTGGTTAATGACCCTGGCTGCTCTTCTAAAGGATCTGAATTTGATTCCCTGCACACGTGTTGACTGCAAATTGTCTGTAACCCCAGTTCAGGGGATCTGATGCCCTCTTCAGGCCTCTTCAGGCACTGCATTTGCATGGTGCATGGCAGGTAAAAATCCATACTATTAAATTATTTTTTTAATTTTAATTGTTGGTTTCTTTTCCATATTATATATTTTGATCATATTCTTTCCCCTCTCCAAACTCCAGCCTGATCTTCCCCACCTCTCAATCTCAATCTATTTTTTACATCTCCCCATGCACCTTTTTTTTTTTTTTTTTAACACGGCAACCTTACTTTATTGTTTTGATCTCTCTAGGCCTTGGCATTTATTGTATTGATGCCCATATTTCAAGGCCCATCTCAAATACAGCCTCACCTTCAATAAATGTTGTTATCAAGTAGAGAACAGTTCATGCTGGGGACGGGGCACTGAGGGTAGGACAAGTAGGAGGAACTGGGTTTGGGGCAGATCTTTTCTCCTGAATCTATGCAGTGGTATTTGAGTTGTTATAAAGTAGGGATCACTGGCGCTGCATAGTTAGAACAGAAAATTCCAATCACTAAGCAACTGTTCAGGGGGCGGGGGTTTGGGAGCCATTTCAGGACATGAGACGGGGCGGGACATAAGACAAAATGCCAGCCCAGTAAAGAGCATGTCAGTAGTAAGGGGGAGGCAATGGAGATGTGCTCCCTATGAGTTGGGAATTACTATTCCACAGGTTGTAGGGTCTTTAAACCTGTGAGGATTTAAGGATTTCTAATTCTATGCTATATAATACTTTAAAAGCAAGGATATTGGGATTCCAAGGATTTTAAATCCCTATAACCTATGGTAGAAGAAGAACTCAAGCAATTCACGAGCTATGCAATGCTAGGAGCTTAGGACACAAAACAAGGGCTTTAAATGGAACATTGGACACCTTAAATTAATCCTCCTTGGGTTTCAAATCATCCTTGACTTAACCCTTGGGACAGTGTTTCCAAATTGTCCCCCCTCACAGACCGATTCGATTTTTGGCTTCCCTGGGGCAGCTCCATCCCTATCAGATTTACATTTTAGTCTTTTGCATTCAATTCAGAAGAAAGAGTTTCTTGCTAAAAGCTGTTTAAGTTTTAAAATCTCTGTCCCAAGACAAAGAAACCTCAAATCTAGTGAGCACTTGAATGTAGAGTGGTTCAGAAAGCCACAACAGACCTCTCTTGTGTCTTAATTGTTTATAAACACTGCCAGCTTTGCTTTGACTGATAAACCATCAAATGGTGACAAAGATTAGGCAAAGGGGCCTGGGACATACTCATTAGTTAAATAATCAGTCACCATCGCACTCAAGTCTGGAAACAGACTCCTTTATAGTATCAACAATTCCTAGTACAGGCACTGTCACTTTACTGTGACTTCTGCTGTCTGTGAGGAGTCATCCTATGAGTCAGGGCCTGTGCTGTTTTCTTTATTCCATCTCACTGAATCGGCACAACCACACTGACAGCAACTGTCACCCGTCACTTCATGACATGGATTAAGAGAATGGAGCTCAGGGTGGATAAGTAACTAACCCAAGCTTGTGCGTCTGGCTTCTGGGAGATTCCACTTCACTTACCAGAAGAGCTACAATGGACTGAAGGAATTAAAGTGGTCAAAGTTCAATTGCCTGAGATTCTCCTTCCAAGACCAAGGTGAAATTTTAACCGATAGATGGCAGCAGTGTGTGAGTCTGGTGGCCTACTCCAGACAGTCCATCCCATTTAGGGAAGTCCCAGCTAGGGCTCAGAGCTGGAGGACTATCTCAGGTTGAGAGAGACGAGAAAGGAAAGAAGGCGCCATTTTGTTTTGCAATAAGATGCCATTAGCATTTGCCCTCCTCGGTTGAGGAAAGATTTGAAGAAGTGGGCGAGTGGATCCACAGTGCTTCTTCCAAGAGCTGCTTTGACAACACCTGGGCAATTTTTCATTATGATTTTCTGGTTTTTTGTTGAGGGGTGCTAGGCTACCAAGTTGCATGGGTATCAAACACAGGTTCCTGCAAAGGGAAGGAGGAAGCAGGTGCTGTCATAGATGAGGCAGTGGTAACATAAGGTTACCAATCCTGGACTTGAGGCCAGGAGACTCTCCCAACAAAAGGGTAATGTAAGGTACTTCTATTGACTGAACGAGAGTTTAAAAGGCTGAGAAGACCGGAAAGCCATTGCAGGGAGGAGTTTAAAGGCACAGAAGCATTAGAAAGCATGCTACACTCAAGGGCAAGCCAAACAAATTTTAAGGGCAGAGAGATGAGTTTGCAAAGACAGGCAGATATTGCATGATTAGCACCAGGCATTGGGACATACACCTATAATCCCAGAAGGAGAGTTAAGACAGGAGGACTGTCTGGTAAGTGAAGAGGAATCTCCCAGAAGCCAGATGCACAACCTTGGGTTAGTTACTTATCCACCCTGAGCTCCATTCACTTAACCCATGTCATGAAGTGACGGGTGACAGTTGCTGTCAGTGTGGTTGTGCCGATTCAGTGAGTTTGTAGCCAGCCTGGGCTAGATAGTGCTAGAACTAGGGATACATAGCAAGACCTTGTCTTAAGAAAAAGCCACAAACACAAAAGCAGATGATTAAAGAATCCAGAATACCACAGTAAAGAATTGATTCACAAATGTATAGCGATGGATGTCTGCATGCTTTTTTCCTAAATTACTGCCTCATGGTAATTATGAGCCTGCCCCCTCAAAAACAAAAAATTAGTCTAACTGTTGATGAAGTAAGACTATGACCTGATTTGGTGGCCCGTGTACAGAAAGATTGTGAAACAAAATGCTGGAAGTGAGAAAATTCATTGAAGAGTAATTGGGACAGGAGTAAACATGAAGGTCAGAGCTGGGGTAGATAGCGAGGGAACCAAAGAGATATAATTGACAGGATTTGGTGGGTGTCCAAGGGTTCCTCCTCATATGTGACAACAGTCCCCAATGACTAAGTGAGAAAATCCATCTCACCCTTACCTCAGGCCTCATCCTCTACCCACAACTCTCGAGCTGCCCCATTGGGGGGGTTCCTGAGCTGCCCTTGACGTTTAGTCAAGCCTGACTCCACAAGTGAACAGAGATAGCCCGGCAAGAGGCTTTGTCCCCTGAATTACATTCTCAGAGGAGAAAATTCTGTCAGCTGGCCTCAGGTAGAGGTAGAGCAACGAACTGACCTCTGCCTATGGCTTCACAATACGGACAGAGTTCAGTTAAGAAATCAGTGCAATTCCCAGAAAACGGCAAACATCATTCCATTTATTTTTCTTCTGATTCATCTTCTGCCAATACCCAGACTGAATAGCAGGCAAAGTAGATGCAGGTCCCCAGACAAGCAGATTCTCAAGATGCCTCCTGCTGTTCCATCCCCCTTCCCCTTCCCTTCCCTGGAGATGTCCCAGGATTGCTTGGATCTGGTGTTGGTGTCTCAGGAAAGGAAGATGGAGGTCAGCCTTTATCCCTTGGACACTGGCTCATATGGCTATCTTGAAGAATTGGGGGAATCAAAGGGCCCTGGGGAGTGACTGCTCTCTTGTCCAAGGGCATCCCCAGCCCTGTTCTATTTCCCAAGGGCTTCAGAAATCAAGCCTTCCTGATCCCCTTCCAGGTCTTGGGAGCTTCCTCCTGTTGGCACAAGAGCAGCCCAGACAAGAACATGCCAAAGGCCTAGACTTGTGGGCCCATCAAGAGAGCCAGGGTGAGCTAGACTGTTTGAGTACACTGGTTCCAGTCCAGAAAATTTGTGTCTGGAGACTCTTAGCTAATCGATGCCCTTGAAAACATGACAAGTGTAACTGGGACTGTTTCAGTTTGGACAGGTCAGGGGGTGGGTCAGGGGAATGAGCTTCGGCCTTGTGTGCTGTGGCCTCTGGTACCCTCGTACCCTCTTCTGGCCCTGTTTCATTGACCTCTTCCTCTTCGTCCTCCTCCTTGTCCTCCTCATCCTCTTCGCTGTCAGAATCTTCATATAAGTTGATGGTGGCTTGGACAGGGAAATTTTGTAGTAATATCTCCCCGGCACTGTACAGGTAGTCAAAGGAACGGGATTTAGGCCAGAAGAGCCTGCAAACAAAACAGAAGCAGGGCCCCTAACTAAGGCAACTCTCAGATGTAGAGGGACCAGTCAGGCCAAGAAGGAAGCACACCCTTGGAGCTGGTTGCTAGCTTCAGGAAAGGTCTGAGAGGGAAAGGAAGAAGCAGCTTTGGTGTGGAATCGTTGCGAGTGTTACAAAAGTGGTTCTAAGAAAGAACATCACCTCTGATGGGCCTGTAGCTGTGGTAGAGGGTGGGTCACCCCAGTGTCTTTCAATGCTAGCACTGACACCACTAACCGCTCCATCATCCCAGCCCTTCCTTTTCTACTAAGGATTCTATCAGTGGTGGGTTCACAGGATTCCATCCATAGGGCTCAGGGACGGAGAAGTCCTCTGGGGAAAGTCACTTTGGCCTACTGAGTTCCATGGTCTCTTTCCTCGTGCGTCATGGCCTTGTCATGAGCATACATAGAGCTCATGGCTGTTTGTCACATTCTGAACTTGAACACCAGAAGCTTACCTGACAGGGTGATGGAACTCAGACACAGCCTTGGTGGCCTCCGCAGCTGTTGCCCCACCAGCAGCCTGTCCAAAGCAAAAGCTAGAATGTGGCTTAACTGCCCCTCCCATATCAAGGGTCAGGGATCTGCAGGTTCTGACAATCTCCAAAAGACTCGAGGCATCTCTGAGATCCAGCCACCTCCCAGCCCTGCCCTACAGCAAGGGGTCTGTCTTGGATCTGGTTGAAAAACAAGTAGCAAGAGTCATGGGGGTTGTTTTCTTCCCTGACCCTGTTCCAGTGTCTGTTTGGAGACTGTCCAGGGGACAGAGTTCTCTTAGAGGACAAAACATTCATGGAGCAGAGTGGGAGAGCACTGGATTCCAGCACCAGCTCTACCACACACTTTTGAGGCCAGCCCAGACCCCTTGCCCACTCTAAGCCTTGATGTCCAGCCTCATCTGTCATGGAAATCTTAGCCCTGCCTTCCTCCCAGGGCTGCTGTGGGGATAAAATGTGAGCAGAGTTGGCAAAATGCTCCCCCAGATCTGCAGCCTTGGACTGGAGTCAGGGGATGTCTGAGAAGGGACATGGCTGTCAGTTCCCATGCAAGCATGTCACAGGACCCCCAACTCACCCAATCCACCAGCATCCTCACCTGCCTTGGTTGATCATTTATGGAGGATAGCCAGGGTCTCCAAAGACAAGTTTCTCTAGGATAAACAGAAAAAAGAACAATTGGCACAGGAAGAGACTTAAACATAGGCCTCTTCTGATCACAGAAGAGGCCTCCTAAAAGCTTGGCTCACAAGCCATCTGCTCTGGAATACCTTTGGTCTCCTGAGCACTGAGCCAAGGCTATGACAGATACCCCTTGTCTCTACTCCAACAATGTTATCACTGCTCTTATTCCACTGTTTTGGGATTGTCTGTCTGAGCCCCTTAAGCTGAAAGAGTTGTCTAGGCATATCTGAACCGCCATTCCCCTACTACTATGCCTTGCACACAGGAGGGACTTAACTGTTGAATGTGAATGTGAAATGTGCAGAGGAGAGAATGCCAGCTATATAGGGAGTATCTTGTGGCCTATCTCCTGCATCAAGTAGTAGGGAACAGAATTCTGCCATTTTCCTAGCTGGACCTAGAATACTCCTTGGCCCATTACTTTTCCTCTAGATTCTAGAGGCAAGGAGGAAAAGCAAATAGGAAACTTGTGGCATGCTCAGGACGGAAGTAGCACTCCAACCAAAAGCCTCTTTAGACTTTGTCCCTTTTACTCTATGCCATCTCTTACCATCTAGGCCCCACAGTCCAGGTTGCATTAAAGCCCAATTTCCAGAGCAACTTCTCCCTTTCCCTCAGGAATTGGACAGACTAGACCATGAGGGTCAGGCTACTTGGCTTTCAGCTTTGGCAATGTTCGGTGCCCCTCAGCCCACTCCCTGCCACCTAGAGTGATGAACGAGGTAAAATATTCCAGCCAAAGGTATAGAGGGAGATCAGAGGCTCTTTGTTGCCTCTCTTCTTCAAAGAGAACAGGGCCACTACCACCATGGACCATCTCACTATCTCCCTCATTCATTTCCCTGAGTTCAGGCTGTCAAAGTTTCACTTACCTTCCACTTTCAGAAACTTCTTGTCCATTGATTTGTGCTACAGCAGGGGCTTGGGCCAGGGCCAGGCCAGGAGAGGCAGCAGCAGGAGCAGCAGGGTCCATCCTAGAGACACCAAGTCAGATGACTGTGGCCTATTCCAGTCCTCAGAACCTTCAGCACTCTTGGCTTTTTCCCCAGAGACCCTTTTATAAGCCCTGCCTTGACTCATCAATTATTCAGGCAGTGCAGGGGTGGGGGAATGTGGGATGGTTGTGAAGGTTTAGGGAGGGGGCTCCTGGAGTGAGAGCTATGTCCTTGGGTGTGAAATCTCTCGCTGTTGAATAAACAGGGTCCCCGGTGTAGGTGAGGGGTCTGCTGTAGCCCCAAGTCAGAGAGGAAAACAAAGGGGCAAATCTCACACCATTTGTGTGAATTCCCCAGGCAGTGTCAAGGCCCAAGGTGGGAAGGAGGGGAGCTCGCACCCATGTTTGTCTGGGGCAAAGGGCTGGGTCTATGGGCCTCTAGCAAAGCTGGTTCCCAGTGAGAATAGAAGGCTTCCAGCTCTAAGAAGAGTGAGGGACTCACCAAGTATTTCAGCTCAAATCCCAAGTAGATTTGCCAAGTGGACCTGACACAGGGTCACTGCCATGAAGCCTGTCACGTGGCTTAGGATAAAGAGGGGTTCTGGGTGGAGCAGGTCCAGTCTCTTCCAGGGTAAAACTCAAGTCATCTGTCAGTGCCTCCCTACCCCTGCCTCACTGCTCAGTTGACTTGCAAAAGTGCCTAAAGCCCCCTCTGGCCTCAGCAGAAAGCTGTGTGGTATGGGGAGCGGGCCCAGGGAGTTTGCAGGGCAGATTCCAAATGGCACAGCTCAGCTGCCAGTTTAGGAGCCCAGGTGCTGGAGGCCGGGAGGGCTCTGCCCAGCACTGTGTTGCCAAAGGACCATCAGAGTCCTCAGTCCTCTCACGTGAGATGAGGGTGCTGGCCCTGGGGTCCCCAGGCCCCTGACAGCCTGAACACTCTGTGACAAGAGCTGGGGAATGGGTACTGACCCCAGCAAGCCAAAAAGGTTTGAGCAGAGTGTTTGGCATTAGCCACCTTTTGGGCCTTAGCCAACAAGCTTCCAGTTACAACAACTGGCAGGCACTTCATGCTTAGAGGTTTCAAAAATATTCCTCCTGACCTCAGTGGCCAGCACCTGCCTAGATTTAGTGTCTTGGATGTTCATCACAGCCTGGTTTGTAATGCTCAAAAATTAGAAACTGCCTCAGTGTCCAATAATAGGAAACCCGTTAGTTTTGCTAATCGTGGACAATCCATGTAATCACATACTGAGCAGACAGTGAGAATCATGGCATCATCGCAGAAAGCTGTAAAGCTGGATGCTAAGGGGTGGGGACTAACTTGATTCAGGGGCTCCTTATCTAGCTCCCGCCTCCCAGCACTCTGCTTGAATTTGAGCCTCACTGTGATCTGTACAGCAAAGAAAAACAACTAAAGACAGAGTTGCGGATATGGCCCAGTGATGGAGCATGGCCATAGCAGGGCTTGACCTCTAGCACCAGAAAAAAAAAAAAAAAAAAAAAAGAAAAGAAAAGAAAAAAAGCAACGTCATGTTAAAATGTCCTGGTGGAGGAATGCATAAACAGCCAATGTATTCAAGACTGAAACTCCTAAGTTTCGAAAATATTACTTAGGACGATCCCATTTTGATAAGAAAAAAATGTGGAATGTACAGTATGCACAGAAAAAAAAATAGGCTAGTTAGTAGAAAAGATGTTGCAACTGTCAGCTCAGGGGGGTAAGAGAGAAAGGTGGAGCTTCACTTCCTTTATGATTTTGTGATGTTTTTGAAACAGTTTCCACAACTGAACTGACATTGTTTGGCGCACAAAAAGTAAGAATAAATAAAGACCAAACTTGAGTGGGTATGGATGGGAGGTAGGTCTAGAAAGGTTTGAGAAACAGGATGCATGGAATTATATATATGTACACACACACACACACACACACACACAATTATATATATGTTTTAACTGATGAATAAAATTGTATATATTTTTAAAAATATAAGAAAAGGAAAAACAGGAACCTCTTGGAGAGACGGCAGTCATTTTGAAACACCTGAGGATTAGATTGCAATGAATTATACTTGTGTACAACCTCAAAGGGCAAGCTAGAGAGAGGCCCAAGGGTGGAAGCTACATGAAGACTCATTTTTGGCTCAACCAAAGGAAAAGTTTCTAGCAGCTCAACCACCTCAGGGCCTGGCACTGTACCTGCTGTCCACAAAGAGAGGTTTATTCTATGAGATGAAATGAGTCCTGTGGAATGCACTACCTCGGACTGAGCTAAGCTCTCTAATGCTAAATGTATTAAGTTGGAACTGGACTGTATCCTAAAGAGGGGGATCCTGTGGAAATTTGCTAAAAGGAGAGGGAAGGAACTGAGAGACGGGAGCAAAGTCAAAGGACTGGGCTGAAAAGAGACAGCACGCCAAGTGGAGAGAGCCCAAGACATATCATCACACCCTGGAATCTTTTTGACCTCTAGGTGACCACTGACAATAGGCAGGAGGTCAGAAGGAAAGGGGAGGGAGACACATTTTTCTGGAGGTCCCAGGTCTTACTCATGTCACCCACCATGCCACCTTTGACCTTGAAATTGTATTCCTCCAGCCAATCCCTTCCCTCCAGTAAAACAGGCCTCACAGGATGCCTTATGCTCATCTTCCAACATGCTGTCCTAACTCTGAGGGAGCCTTCAGCCCTGTCTCCATGACTCTTAGTTCTCCCTATACAACCGTTCTGACTACTGCCTCCTAAGACTCACTTCAGCATCACCCAACCGTGGAAGATATGAAGGTATTGGCCCCATTGTGGAATAAAAGCCTTTTGCTGAACCAAAATATCAGAGCCTGCCTGTTCTCCCTTGTACTTAGTGTGGAACAGGAATGAGGTGGTCAGCAGGAAAGCAGGAAAGACCAAGATAAGCCAAACAGAATTTCCAATAAAGGCAATTAAGATAACAACTAATTTCTCTGTCAATTATATTGTGCTGGGTTTATCAGTGATCGTTTTCCTCGACTTTTCTGAGAGGAATAGGTACACTCTCTGGGCCAGACACTCCTTGCTTGGCAAGGAGATGAGCTAGAATGAGGAGGGTGTTGTGGCTCCTGCCCCAAGGTGCTCACAGCTTAGAGGGTGGAGAAAGACAGTCTTAATTAGCCTCTGCCAAACCGGAACCCCTCCACCAACCTCAGAGAAGTTCCCTTGTCAAGGCCCCAGAGTAGCCTCCACGTTTCTCTGGGCCTCATTCCAAATTTCCTTCAGTTCCCTACCATGTTCCTGCCGCACCCTTCTTGCTCAGAACAACCTCTCCTCCTACTTCCCTGAGAAAACAGAGGCCTTCAAGCATGGATTACCTCAGTGCCCTGCCCCAACCCCCCAAACTGGCTTGCCTCTCCAACGTCCTTCCCACCCTTCACCCTCCCTTAACAAGGGACAAAGGTGCCCCCTTTCGTTAAAGGTTAATCCCTTCTCTCCTGGGCCTTGGCCTCATCCACCCTCCTCTGGGCCCTCTCTCCAGGACAGTATCTTCTTTCCTTTCAGGAAAACCCAACTTCCCTACACCAGAGTATAAAAGGCCTGCTTTCTGTGACGCCTAAATCCAGTGCCTTCCCTCCTCACATTTGTTCTCTTGCTCCCCTAGTCTGCTCTCCTCGGTGTCTTTCTCTTCCTGCCTCCTTCCCTGCTCCCATTTCTTCCCTTCCCTCTCAAGTTTGTTGAAAATAGAGCCTAACTTCTAGACTTATGCTTTCCTCAGCTTCCCATTGACACCTCAGCCAGTTTGGCTCCAGTCCCATCATCCCAGTGAGAAGGCACTGACAAAGGTCACCAATGACCTCCTAATTGCCAAATTCAATGAACTCCCTGAACTGTAGCTCCTCTTGCTAGTCCATCCCCTTGCTAGGCAATACCCCAGCAATAGGCACTGACTGTTGACCAAGCAAATCCACCTTCCTCTTTTGGCCTCCATGATCAACTGCCTCCTTTGTTTCTCGCACTCTTTCCCTCTCCCCCTTTCCTCTCTGGCATCTCTCTCCTGGAAATTGAACCTCATAATCTCTTTTTACTGTTTTGGATTTTTGTAGTCAGGGTCTCACTCTCATACCATCTTGGCACTCAGACTCTTCCGTTTCTACCACCTGCTGAGATTACAGGCATGCTCTGCCAGGCCTGGCTCAGTCTCTGAAGCTGACCACTCTTCCTCTGCTCATTTCTTCACTCAGCGGTCCTCAGAGTCCCATGATACAGTGATATTCTCAACGGGTAAACACTTCACTAGGACAATTTCTCAACTGTTTAGATTTATTGAATTCTAAAAAACTGTCCTCCGTTCTAAGATTCTATCCTTCCTGGTTTGGGGTGATTAAATGATCTCTTTTTTTCAAAGTGAAGGTGATAGTAAATGCTAGCTTATTTCCTTAATGTTTCCACTTGGCAAAATGAAACATTAGTTTCTTAGTGTTCGTTTCATAAATATTTATAGAATGAGTGAAAGAAGAAGATCTGTATTTCCAGCCTGGAATTTTCCCTATGGGTATCTCAAATTCACTCCAAAATTGAACGATTCTTCTCCCCCAACAAGTCTCCTGTGTACCCACCTTACCATCAGCGTTCTATTGAGCCAGTCACTCATTCTAAAATCCTCTACCTGTGTGTACTGTCAGTTCAGTTCTTTGATGTCCTTCACTTTTGTCTCTCCCAGCACGTCCATGCTCCCTCTGTCTACTCTCACCTGGACATTGGGTTGGTATAAAAGTGCCTATGCTTTTTGCATTGTTGAAATTTGCCATTTGATATTAGACTACTACATTTTTTTTGAGACAGGATTTTTCTGTGTAGCCCTGGGTGTTCTCTTTACTCTGTAGTCCAGGCTGGCCTAGAACTCAGAGATCTCACCTGCCTATGCCTCCCTGAGTGCTGGGATTAAAGGCATGTGCCACCACTGCCCAGCTGACTAATACATTCATAAATAAGTGTGGCTATGTTAATGTCTCTTCTTGCTTTATGTCTTTTGTTGATGTTACAACCATGGAAGACATTTCAAAATTCAACATGGACTATTTAATAGCCCATTCGAATGGGAAGCAAGTGGGAATAGTGTAAA